TTATTCTACTGAGCCATCTTCCAGCCCCCCTAAGCTCACTTTGTAGCCCATTTTGTAGTATTAAACTCTGAGCGATCCTCCTGCCTCAGCCTCCTGAGTACTGGAGAGCCTTAAAGTATTCTGCCTATTATGTTTGGTTGGTTTCTAATATTTGGCTTTGAATTTTGATATTTATGAATATTATTTTCCTCAATTCTAGTGGTAAATGCAGCATGCACTATGGGGAACGGTACTGCAGTCTTTTAGATAATGCTGAGCCTAGACCTTTGAAAGTTTTAATTTTGGTCCTACTGAAACTGATCCTTAAAAGTAATTTGGAACGTCAGTTTACTCATATATCTTTGAGCTCATAATGATTTCAGTTATCAAAAATAATTATTAGGGGCTGGAGAGATGGCTCAGCGGTCTAAAGCACCTACTTAGAACAAGTTCAGCGAAGCACAGGGACCACGGTTCAATCCCCCAGCACCACATGCCAGCCAGCCCGCCCCCTGGAGGGCTGAGCTGGCCACACACACACACACCCCTCTCTCTCTCTCTCTCTCTCTCTCTCTCTCTCTCTCTCTCTCTAATAAAAAAAAAATAAAATAATTATTAGTCATTCTTACGTATTTTTCAAACTATTTATTTGTTTGTTTGGTACAGTGTCTTGCTACACAGCTCAGACTCGTAGTGATCTTCTCATCTCAGCCTCCCCAGTGCGGGGATTTTTGACATGCGCCACCATGCCCGGTTTTAGTGTCTGGCATGGCATGCCTGGGGTTCTGGGGCGGGCATGGCATGCAGTACAGGGATTGAACTCAGATCCTTACACTTGCCAAGCAGGTGCTTAGAGTGCCAAGCTATCTCCCCAGCACTCATGTATTTTTATAATTTAATAATTTGCATTTTATCCATAACTCAAGAACATTTTTATTGTGTGCAAAGTCATACACGTTCTTTATAGACATTCCATACAAAAACAAGTGAGTTTCCTTCTATCCCTCTCCCAAGCCCACTGTGCAAAAGCTACAGCTCCTCTTAGCAGTCACTGAGTAGCTTCCAAGCCTCTTTTACCACATGTGTGAAACACCACTACACTATCACGAAGCACAGTGCTTTGTGGTCTGTCGGCCTTCCTGCTTCAATCTGTTCCAGTGTAAAGACTGGACGGGTCCCCAGAGTACATGCAGTGTTGTATTTTTGTCTGTATCTACTTGTTGTCTTTCTCACCAGTTAAGAGTGGTCTACTCACTCCTGTCACTTTACACATGAGGTAGCAAGGAAAGGGAATGGGAGGGCCCTGCTTGTGCGTAGCCACCACTGTGTGTTCCCGCCACCCCAGCTGAGGTCTCTTCTTCCATCCTCTTGCTACTGCAGGAACAGAGTTCAGGTCTGATACAGAAGATGGTAAGCATGCTAATTGGAGAAAAGAAATCTTTGCTACAACTTGCTTAACGTCTTTTTAACTTCAAACTTTATCTACAAAATCAGGCCAAAAATAATCATGTACAGAGATTTTAAAGTACTTGTGAGAAGTAAATTGACTATGTTGAAAAGTCACTTGGCTTCCCTGGGCAAGGGCCTGAGTTCAATCCTCGGTTCCATCAAAAAAAAAAAAAAAAAGAAAAGAAGAGTCACTTAGGAGGGCTGGCGAGAGCAGGGTCAGTGTGAGACGCAGAAGGTGACAGTGGCCCACATCCCTTAACTAGAGTCATGGGAAGGGGTTAGATCCTGCTGGCGTTGGGACTTCAGCCTTAACCATGAAATGATGCACAACCAGGATTTAAGTCGTGTATTTGTTTTTGAAGTAATGAGCAATTGAGAAGTGGTTTGTTTTGTTTTGTTTTAATTTTTCTTAAACTAATTTATGTTTTTCCCCACAGGATTAGATTTCTTTCCTTTCTTGTCGGGAGACAATCAGGTATGTTATGAATAAATCACTGTTTTTTAACTTGTATATTTAGAATATTTAAAACAGTAATATGTAGCCAGGAAAAAGAGAAGTTTCCTTAGAAAGTACAGAATGATCATACTCATTATTGTTTGGACTTTAAGAATTTAAGTAAAAATCTCTAGCTTTAGCAAGTTTCTTAGCCAAATACAGTCATGTTCCACATAATGATATTTTGGGTTTTTTTGATGGAACTGGGGGTTGAACTCAGGCCCTTGCACTTGCCAGGCAAGCGCTTATTCTACTGAGCCATCTCCCCGGGCCCCATGATGACATTTAGATGAAAACCAGATCGCATATATAATAGTGGCCTCCAAAGATTATACAGTACAGCTGAAAAGGTTCTGTCACCTTCCGTGATAGCCCTGTAATGTCATAGCAGAGCACATGGCACAGGTGTCTATACCCGTCGTGCATCCCGTGGTCTGAAGGCTCACGCAGTTCTGTGCGGTGCACAGGGCTTGATAACTGGTGAACACAACAGATTTTACTGTGGAACAGCTGCCGTGTACACAGTAACAGCTCAGATGTACTGTGTTTACTATCTCTTGATTGCATTGTTTCTCTTTCTGTTTGATTTAATTTCATGTTGTTGTGTTCATTGTGGCCCCAAAGCATACAAAATGTACTGCTAGTCCTGCCCCAAAGAGGCCACATCAAATCTTGACCTGGAAATGAAGTCACATGGTTAAGGGGCTAGGGGACATTGCTCAGTGGCAGAGCCTGTACGTAGCATGTGCAAGACCCTGAGTGCGAGCCCCAGCACAAGAAAGAAAGAAAAAGAAGAAAGAAAGAAAGAAAGAGGGAAAGAAGGGAGAGATGATTAGTTATTGTTGGCTTGGGCATGTCCTGTTCCACCTTAGCTGCTAACTCAAAGAACAAGGTCAGTGACAGAAACTGTCTGCTTCATTGAAGACAGCAAGACTAACAAAAACTGAAGAAGAGTGCATCAGACATGGAACAGTGTCTGAAAACTTGGATTAAAGTCCGAACAGAAGCACATCTCTCTCAGTGTCATGAGGATCACCACCATAGAAGTGTTGGTTTTCAAGGTTGAAAGAAAAGGTTGGGTCCCACTGCAATTTTTTTTCTTCTTCTTTTTTTTTTTTTTTTTTTGTACCAGGGATTGAACTCAGGACCTTGTGCTTGCCAGGCAGGCAGGCACTTATGCTGCTGAGCCATCTCCCTGGCCCCGTATACTACATTTCCGCTAGCTTGTGTTACCACCAGCGAGTCACCCAGCAGCACGATGCACAGATGACAGCCCCAGTGTGGACTGGACCACAGTCTTGGTTGGGGCAGCGTTGCAGGCAGTGAACAGAAACCCCTTGCAGTGTTGGAGAGTGCAGACCTCAGGTCTTCAAGCGTGTCTGTGAGCACACAGCCAGCACACCATAGGTACCGCGAGAAGTCGAGTGTGGCCCAGCACCCCCTCCAAGGTGCCCTTCTGAATTCCTGGGTCATCAAATGAAGCGCTGTTTGAAAAGTAACACATCTGCTGGGATTTTGCTGTTGCTGATAGTGTTCTGCACAGCCTCCTTTGATTGGTGATCTTTCTCCCAGTGTAAAACCACCTCTTTGATCCAGCTGGTAAATCGAGTGTCATTGGCGACTTTTAAGACTTACCTTGGAGAACCTTTGCCCAAGCTAGTGCTGCAACCAAAGAAGGTCCTGAAGATTCTGGTGCAGTTCTGGAAGGATTACAGTTAGGACTGTGTCCAGAAGCTCATTTAGGGCCTGGGGCCTGGCCCAGAAGTATGCTTGTCTGGTGTGTGTGAACCCCTGAGTTCAGTCCACAGCACTGCCAGATAAAAGAAACCCCTTAGCCTTGGGCTGCGGCCATGAGGGAATATATGAATGGCTTCTGGAAGAAGGCACTGTGGGTTTTTCCTGACTTCAGAGATTTGGCACAGATGCAGAGGTTGCGAAAACCAATAATATGGGCCGGCTAAATAACTCAGCAGATAAAAGTGCCTACAAGCAGGCACAGGGGCCCGGGGTTCAATCCTCAGGCCTGCCCTGCCGGCTCCACCCCCGGGGTGCACTCAGAGGGCAACTGAGACTGGGCGTGGTGGCGCCCGCCTGGAATCCCAGCTCTTGGGAGGCTGTAAACAGGCAGATCACTACCAGTCCAATCTAGTAGTGAGACCCTGGAGACCCTTCCCTAAAATACAAAAAAAAAAAAATTGTGGCTGACCGGTGGCAAATGATGTTAGCCTGGGTGTAGGTGGGAAGTGACTGATTGGGAGTTTGGAATTGACACAGAAATGCACAGCTAAAAAGAGCCAAGAGAAACAGAAACTGCAGGAGAATAGAAGTTCCGAGAAAATCCAGTGGAGTTTCTTGCAGACCTCAATGAGGTCCTTAAAAGTTTTCAACCATCAGTCCCAATATTGCAAGTTCATCTGTAGAGAGGAGTGGTGGTGGCACATTATCTTCTTACGAGCAAGCCTGTGATGAGCGAAGGCAACACTCCCAGCACAGCACGGCTGGCATAATTCTGCAGAGCCGCACCTCGTCAGGAAGCACCGCGGGCAGGTGGGAGCCCGGGAGATGATGCCAGCATGTGCGTGACGTGCCCCCAGATCTCCCAGGGCCCGAGATGTGGAGATGGAAGATAGCGGCACTGGTGACCCTGGGCGGGCCTAGGCTAGTGTGTGTTGCCTTTTTAACAAATTTTTAAAGTAAGCTTAAAAATTAGAGCTTATAGACTATAAAAAAAAAATTTGTACAGCTACACAATGTGATGATGTTTTCAGCTGTTATTTTAAAAACACTATTTAAAAATATAAAAGCTTAAAAGTTACATTGTTTAGTTTATTATTGAAGAAAGAAAAGTATTTTTAAAAAATTATTTCAGTGTAGCCTAAGTGCAGTGTCTGTAAAGCCTGGCCTTCACGTTTCCCCCTGCCCACGCCGCCTCACCCAGAGCAGCTTCTGGCCTTGGGCACTGCACGCGTTCAGTGCCCCACAAAGGCACTGGTGTCCCTTTCCCTGCCTTTCTTCTGAGATGCGTGCCCATGCTCAGACACTACGAGTAGGAGGCTGTGTGTCTGGGCGTGTGTGTGAGTGTAGCAGTTGCAGATCTGTCCTCAGGCCCCATCTCTGTCGCTGGGCAGCTCAGGACTGGCTCAAGCACAGCAGGTGGACCGTGCTTTGTCCTGATGCTTCTAAGCGTGTTGGAAATACAATCTTTTTTTTTTTTTTAAATGTTATAAGTGGGGTTTTATTTCTAATATTTAAGCAGGACAGGAGGTAAATCCAGATATAAAGATGACAAAATGGAAATACAATCTTGAGAATTGCTTGCAGTTCAGGTTGAAGCAGGCAACAATTTTAAAAATTCCAATTTCAGATATGAAAATGCCTGTCAAGATCAGTGATCTATGGGGCCAGGGAGATGGCTCAGTAGGATAAGCGCTTGACTGGCAAACGCAAGGATCTGAGTTCAATCCTCAGTTCTGCAAAAAAAAAAAAAAAAGATCAGTGATCTAGTCATTGTGCTACACTATATGATTTTTTGCAAAACTTCTCTTTAAAGATTATAGAAGCAAGATATACTATGTGTATTAAATTTAGGACTTCAGTCTGCCAAGAAGAAGGTGTTTTTTCCTGCCTGTAACAAGCTGCCTTGTCCTTGTTCCCTCCCCAGCATTACAACACCTCCCTGCTCGCAGCCGCGGCTGCTGCAGTCTCGGATGACCAGGACCTGCTGCACTCGTCGCGGTTCTTCCCATATACCTCCTCCCAGATGTTCCTTGACCAGCTGAGTGCAGGAGGCAGCACGTCCCTGCCTGCCACCAATGGGAGCAGCAGTGGCAGCAACAGCAGCCTCGTGTCTTCCAACAGCCTGAGGGAGAGCCACAGCCACACAGTGGCCAGCAGGAGCAGCACGGACGCTGCGTCCGTGTTTGGCATCATACCAGACATTATCTCCCTGGACTGAGCCTCGCCTGCTGCTCCTGAGGGAGTCAAGTGGGCAGGAGAAAGAGAACTTTATGCTGTTTTATCTTATTCTGTTTAGAAAAGTTCACAAGCGTGTTTCTTTTTTCCTTTTTTTAGGGAAAAAATTAAAAGAAATGTACAGAGAACAAAACTATATTTTCAGTTTTACTTTTGTATATAAATCTAAGACTGCCTGTCTGATAAAACACTTGTTTAAAAAAAAAAAAAAAAAAAGGAAAGAAAAGAAAAAAAGCACCCATAAACCACCTTCAGTACTTTTTTTCTGGATTCTGAAGATTTTTTTCATCATTTGTCCTATGGTTTTGGTTTTATTTTACTTCAATGGCATTATTTTATTTTATTTTATTTGCAATAACAGAAAAGGAATTGCATGTATGAAGTTTTTAATTATGGGCTTTGTTGTGGGGAGGGGGTGGGAGATAGTTTGATTTCCATTTTTAAAACATGACAGACTTGCATTTTGTGTGTGTGTGTGCGTGTGTGTGTGCGCTCACACATGTGCGCACCCACACCTTACCCAGCCTTAAGTTATAAGTCATCTGTCCACTGCATTCCCTATGTATTTTCAGGATGTAGTTCATGGGTGTGCGTGTTGTGTGTGCATCTATATGTATTTTTCTGTCCTCACTGTCCCTCTCCTCCTGAGTTTGCATTCAGTTCATGATCAGTTCCTTGCCTGCTTCTTTTAAAGTGCTTTGAAGGTCTTGACTTTACGTGTGAGTATCTAACAACTAGCCTGGTTGCATGTCGCTGTCACATACTCTCTGGCTTGCTATATAGCCCCTGAGAATATGCTCTCATGATACTGGAATAATACTATCTGGGTGAGGAAGAGGCTTAGCAGACCTGTGAGTGAGACACTTTAGCTTAGGTCCTGATTCTGAGCCCGGACTGCCAATATTGTATATTTTTAAGCAAAGTCTGTGAGTCCCTGCTCTTTTGGCCACAGGGTAACAGGTTCTTGTGTAAGATCGTCATACCAAAGTAGGAGGCAGAAATGGCTTAGAAAGCCCTGCTGCGGGTCTCATGCAGCTGAAGGAAGGCTGATGTCACCTCCGAAAGTAAGAGGAGTCAGTTATTGTAGACGTCAATCCTGTTTGGGGATACAGTGCGCCACACAGGTGGATCACTTGAAATTTAAAATGCGTTTAAACCTCAGCCATTTTTATTCTCTGGTTCCGAATGTTCTTAATTCCTTTGCCTATCTACCTTGTTTATTTTTTACTTTTTAATAGCAAGCATGACATAGGAAATTCATTTCTTAGGAATTCATGGATCAGTCTGATTTCCTCTTAATAGTGGAACATGTAAATATATTGAAAACTTTTTCAGGAAGTAAAGTGCCGAAGGGAGGGCAAAGTAGTTCTACTTTGGTCCCAGACGTAGGCGATACTGCATTCTCAGTTATGGGAATTGTGTTTCAGTTCATTGAGAGTCCAGGTTTAAGAAAAGCTAAAGCGGGGGCATAGGGACTGCCAGTTTTTCAGACTGGATTTCTTCTGTCAAAGCTGTTAATATTTTCAGAATTGATTAAGGACCACCTTTTCTTGTCATTTTAAACTTTGCCTTGTTAACAAAACGACCTACTTTAATCTGGGTAGAATTTAAAATGTCTATATCTTCGGTTGTATGATAAAATTAATGGTTCACATGACTGTGTGGCATCTAAAAATAATATCTTTTTACAGCAATCTCTGTTACTAAATTGTTGACTTGAATTTTGAAAAACAAGTTAGTGTCGATATGTATATGTGTGTGTGTATATATGTATTTATAACAAGTGTGTGTGGGTAACAAGTGAGTTTTACTTAGTCTTCCCCTATGCATGTGTATTTCACACATAAATGGCTGAGTCATAGTCACAAAACAATTCGCAATAAAAAAAAAAAACAGGTTCATTGTCAGTTAAAACAGGAAATAATTTTTTAAGTGAAACTGGTGTTGTGGTGAGTAAACACTTTAAAAACTCTTATTGCCATGCTAATTTAGGCCAATTTCAAGTAGTATAATTTGTGTCTAAATCTTTATGGGGCTAGAAATTACTAAAATTGTGGGCCGTTTTTTCTGATTTTACACTGTGATAAACTTCTACGTAACTACCTAAGATAAAGTGATAGGTTTGGGGGGGATTTTTTGGTTTTGTTTTCTGTCATTGTTAGTGGCCTGAAAATTCTTATCAATAACTTCATGTATGATGCTGAATTACTGTTTGAATGATCCAGTTGAAAACCTGTACCTGTATTTCCTATAGCCCAGTTCCAGGGCGGTGCAGGTTAATCTCTTACCAGCCTAAGGAAAGATTCAGTGGTAGGGAGAAATCAGTGTCTGTCTAGCGGCTGTGGTCAGGACCCCACAGAGACCGAACCATTCACTCGTCCTTTGATTTTAGTTCATTCCAATCTGTGAGGAGTTTGTCCCTTCAGTTGTTGAATTTCTAAAGTGTTGTATGAATTAGTAGTTATCTGTTGGTATCATGGTCCATAAGTTACCCCGACTTTCATGATCTGTCGTAATTATCAGTAGAGTCATGCACTACATCTTTATATCTTTTAATTTTTTTTTTAAAGCATATAGTCACTTTCTCTCTTTTTCTCCTTAGCCCACCCTCCCTCTCCAGCCCAGCCCAGGCCGACATTGCTGTGCTCTCTGGACAAAGAGCGATTCTCAGACTCTAGGCAAGTTGCCAGCAGCCCCGTGGCCTCGGTCTTTAGTGTGCATATGTTCGTGTTTCTGTACAGCACTACCGTGTGTGCATGCATGTGTGTCTATGTGCACACAGACTCGGCTGACTAGCAGGTGAAGTGGCTTTCGATTCCTATGTGGGCATTATTGGACACATCATTTTAAAAATACAGTCTGCAACTTAACCATGCCACACTTGGTGGACTAGTTTATTGTGAGAATTAAAATTTCCTGCTAGAATTTAGACTCTTAACAATTCCACATCATTAGTGACTCAAGGAACATTTGCTTAAAGTTTCAGAAATACCTTTTTAGTAGTTTCCTTTGAGAAAAGTTTGTGAAGTTGAAAGTATATCCTAGTTGTTAATAAATGTGGAATGAACATTATTTTGAAACAATTTTAATTTTAAATACAACTTACAGGATCTTCAAGATTGTTGAAAGCACATTTGAATTTATTTTAGTAATAATTTAGTTTTATCAATACATATTGAATTGCGTTTTTGTTTTGTTTTGTTTTATGGAACACAAAGCTTAGCTTTCAGAAAGCGGGAGGGAGACTAGCCGGTGGTCCCAGAGCGCGCTGCTGCTGTTTAATTAACAAGGGGAAAGTGTATATAGATAGATATAAAACTTACCATAAATTCCATGAACTTAAATCTGTGATTCATTGCCTTAAAACTTTTTCTCTTAGAATTTCCATACCGCATGCCAAACCAGTAAAATGGCTTTTAAAAATGTATAGTAGACCAATGTCAGTTTGTATAAAAGTTACCAAGTGAAAATATTTATTACATGCATTGGAAAAAAATTGTTTACTTATTGAATGTTACCTGTTTATGTAGAGCTCTTTAGATGTAATAAAAGAAAGCCTTCAGTTAATTTGTCTTCTGTCAAACAATACTGTTGGGGATACAAGGGACGGTCCCTGTGAGAAAAGCGATGATGCCCTGGGCTTCCAGAGCCCCTTTCAGCCAGATTTCAAAGCATGACGAGCACCTGATGCTCTTGCACGTGCTTTGAGGTAAGTAATACACGGCCATGGTTCTCTTTCTTGTTGAAAGTATGAGCAGCTCTGTAATAAACCACAAGTTCTGTTTCACTTTGAATCTGTTTAGTATCTCTTTAAGGTTTTTTTTTTTTTTTTTTTTTTTTTTTTGTTTTGTTTTGTTTTTTGAGTTTGAGTCAGTTTGAGTGCTTAGAGCAATGTAGCTTATTTTTATAAACTTATTTTTGTAAATGGCACAAGGTGCTGGGTAAACCAATCGACATTTCAGGAATGAGCTTCAAAATAAGGTGGAGGAGCTGAGTGCTTCTCCTGGAGTCACAGGTCCTCAGCTCACAGTCAGTGAAGAGGAGCCCAGGTCTTAATGACCATCCTGACTGTGTGCTTAGTGAGCCCAACTTTAGATCCCCATGGGACATGTGGTATTCATAAAACTTGCCTCAGAGCCATACTTGGGCTGGTCAGTGATAAATACAAACATAACCAAGTGGTAAGGGAAAGTACTGTCATTTATTATTACAGCCCAGAACTTCCGTTTTTTGTCCTGTCTGCTTCATCAGAATCTGTCACCCATAGTATTCCAGGTTGGCTTTGAAAGATTTGCTTCTCAGTGTCTGTGATTAGAGTCAAAAAGAGTTGTGGGTCTGGGCCCTTGCCTACCAGGGAAATCCAGCAGCCCTCAGGAATGCCTGAATCTTGTGCATCCCCAACCGGATTCCCATGAAGGTAATAAAGATGAAGCATCAGTACCCTCACTTGCTCTGGCCTCTTCAGGGTTCTGAGAGCAGCCCCAGACAATCTGTATTTCTGCTTTTGTATATCTTCTCTGTTTTGTTTTTGTTGGATTGTTTTATTTTTGGAGATAGGTTTTCACCATATAGTTCAGGTTGGCCTTGAACTTACTGTGTAGCCCAGGCTGGCCTTGAACTCGGTGATCCTCTTGCCTCAGCTTCCTGAGTGGTGGAATTACAGGCATGTACCACTATACCCAGCTCTATTTTCATCAAGCTGCCAAGTTGTGTAAACCTCAGAGCCTACAAAACCCCGCTCTGCCCCTGCACCCTGTAGACACAGGTCCCCACCCAGAGGATCCTGACTGCATGTAGATGAAGTTCACCGTCGACTCCCAAAACTCCTTTGTGACTCTTGGGAATTCCTGCTTACTCCTGTTGGCACCAACAGAACACTGTTGGCTAGTGTTCTAGTTTCCTTTTTAGGACCTCAGTTTGACCAGAAGCTACACAGCAGAGTTGCCCTAGACTTACAGTCCGTACTGTGTTCCCAGTACCTGGCCTTAGATTTGTGTCTTGTGTCGTTTCCCAGGAGAAAACTTTACTTCTTGGTTGGCTTCTCCTTAGGCATGAAGGCACCATTAGAGGCACAGCCAGATGCAGACCCATGAAAGGATGGAAATCCCTGGACTTGGAGCTGGCGCCCACACCCACCAGTGTTACTCCAGCCTCTTGTAGGGCTGTGCGCAATCTGACCGGCACCTAGAACCTCAGTCCCAGGTAGCACAGCCACGTACTTCTGGTGTGGCACTCTAGTCACTTAGGCTGGGCAGACTCCAGAGCAGCTGGGTGGCCACTGTTATTTTCCAGGCCTCTTCTGAGCTGGCCTTTGGCTTGCTGCCCACCCTTGTTTTTCTCCATGAGTCTTTAAGAAAGTGGCTCATGCTCTCGCTAACCCTGCTCACCTGAACAGGCTGTCCTGGTTCCTGGGACCTCTGCTTGCTAACAGCCCAGTGCATGGTTCAGGATTGCGAGGGGAGTGTGAGAAAGGCCCAAGCTCCGTGGGCCTCTATGAAGGCCCTGGCTTCTGTGCTGGTGCGAGGCCTGGAGTCAGCCTCTGCTTAGCTGCTTCGGAGTTCATCCCAACACGAGCCTTCACTTGTGGTTCTGGAATGCATATCTGTCCACAACTGTGTCCTTGTGTCTGTTGAGATGGCAATGGGAACCTCTGCACGAGCCTGTGCTGCTCCAGCACGTGTTGCGATAACATGTCTGCAGTCCTGGGTTGCTGGTTCTCTAGCCCCGACTCTGTCTGGGAAATAAAAGAGGTGGTTCCAGCACCCAGATCCCCAGCATGCTGCTCTGGAGGGTGGCACCTTTTCTAGGAGACCACCACAATTGGAATTCAGATTCCACGTGCTCTGCTGGGGCAGGGGCTCTTTCAAGTCACCATCTCCATCCTTCCTGCTGGGCCCCTGGGGTGTGAGTGCCAGAACCCAACCTTTGTGAGGACCCCTATGCTTTGAGGGTGCAATGATATGGGAAGAGGCAGGGTTGGGGCTGCAGGTTCCCTGCACTCGGTATAGTCCAGATAGCGACAGAAACGAAGATCAGTGCAAAGCTTTTATTAAAGACAGGCTAACACCACAACTGAAAGCATTTATTGGGAGTTCTGTCTGCCCCAGGGGGGGCAGTGTCATCTTGTTGCTATTTGTCATCTCCCTGGAGTGAAAAGGATGCTTCTCCTTTAAAAAGTTAATGAGTCTAGGTTTTCAGACCTGGAGCTGCCCGTGCCACCTGCTCAGTAGTCTTGCACAGGCAGGGTGATCTTCCGGATGAATTCGTCATACTTCACTTTGCCACTTGGCTCAACGTCTCCTTCTTTGAAAAGTTCATCTACTGTAATAAATCATACGGTGTTTTCAGCTTGGATTTGAGCTCATAAGACAGTATTCTTTGCGGTTGGGGCTCCCCAGGGGTCTTCATGGAGCATTCAGTGGACAAAATAAAGAAGATCAAGTGAACCAGCCCATAGGACAGCCTGCCCCCTAGAGACCACTTGCTCAGTTTTTGGACTTTCTTTGGGAATAGTGGCATAGGACTGCTGAAGTGATTGCAGTATTTTTAAAATTTTTCTTTTTGTCACTTTTTGAGACAGGGTCTCACCATATAGTTCATGCTGGCCTTGAACTCATAGTGATCCTCCTGTCTCAACCTCCCAAATGCTAAGCTTATAGGCATAAACCAGGTCTGGCCATAGCAGTGTACTGCCAAGGATTCTATCACTGGAGCATCCCTGTGCTGCTTTTATTTTTATTTTATTTATTTATTTATTTTTTGGCAGAACCAGGGATTGAACTCAGGCCCTTGCGCTTGCCAGGAAAGCGCTTACCCTGTGCTGCTTTTAAAGAAATTCTCTGACTTCTGTGACTGTGTTCATGGAAACCTTTAACTGGAGCTTGGCTTACCGCAGTGCCCTCCCGGACCCCCATTGCCATGGGCACCCTCTGCAGCCCTCGCTGGTCCACACCAGCCCAGACTTTGGCCCTGTCTCAACTTCCTGACCCTCCACCCTACACACACCAGCATCAGCCGTCACTCCTGTGTCCTGGCCAAGAGAGGACTTGGCAGTAAGTGGTGTCTGCTGCCACTGCCTCCGGGAGAGGCAGAATAAGGGCCGGAGTGCACCTCCGAGGTAGAGCACACGCATTGTGTGCACGAGGACCTGGCCCTGGCCTAAAGCCTCAGCACCAAAACTAATAATAATAATTTGGGAGTAAGAAAAATAAATTCAACTTTGTCTCAAGTGCAAAGCTTACAGAACTGCTATTCTGCATTGCTTAGGGAAAAAAACAAAAAAAAAACTATTTGCACATTCTGAAACAAAATACAAGCATATCCCAACCACTGGCAAGAGGAGCCAGGCAGCTTACCATTTTCCACAGTGGCCACTTGAGCCAACCTACTCTCCTTGGACCATCCTCACCCTCCTGCAAAAACTCCCTCACCCCCGGGTGTCCATGTGCCCGCCTGGGTACCTCCATGCCTCATTCTGGGTGGTGAGCAGCCAGCTTTGTCTCTCCCTTTACCTTCCTTGAAAGTGTAATTCCTGGGCTCTGTGCTGAGGCTGATGGTTGCTCTGCATAGTATTAGAATGATAGACTGATCTGCCTTTCTTGGTGATTAGATGGTCTGCAAAGGTGGCATGTCCAAGCCCAGGTGATGTGCTGCAGCTGCCCAGGGCGGAACGGTTCTGGCTCTGGCTGTCTCATTTCACAGATCCCAGGAGTAGCCAGTGTTCTGAAGTCACCCTGTCGCAGGCCTCACATGGGAGACCTCGTCCGTGGCCAACCCCTGCTCTAAGGGTGCTTCTTAACATTTTATTTCTACCACTCCAGGATCGAGGGCTCCTGTCTGCTGTCATCCTTCCTCCCTCCACAGCCAGCCAGAGGGAAGTTGGTCCCCACTCCCTGCTCCAGAGTGCTCCCTGCACGTTGCACAAATGGGAGATGGACGTTTGGGAGCCACTGTGTCCCTTTGGACAGAGGTCACTGGCCTCAAAAGTGAAGGCCACCCTACTACTGCCTCCCCTGGGGCAGAGGGAACAGTGTCCAACAAGCCTGACAGGCGAGGTCAGCCTGGGTTTTCCCCCATCGTATGAAAGATGAGCTGTAGCTGCCGGCCCAGGTGCAGGGGTGGGGGGGGCGCCTGCTGTGGCGCGCTCGCTATTTTTAAACGCTGTGCCCGTGGCTTTGTGAGCAGCTGGGCTGGAATGTCAGCTCCCAGCCTGCAGAATCAGCTGGGGCAACCTTGTCTCCAGCCAGGCAACTGAGGCTGAGAAACCCTCCTGAGATCCCCAGAAGGGGAAAGAGCAACCTGGAAGCTTCTTGGTGGCTGAGACTTGGCTGAAGGCTGAACGTCCCTTCTTCCTGAAGCCTTTTCCTTGCATGCACTACCGGCTAAGCCTGGCTTCCCCAATCCAAGTGGGGCGGCCTAGCTAGAAACTCGGGGGTCAGTGGACAGGACCTCTGAGGCAGGAGGGTGAGCAGAGCCCCCATGGGCTGCTGTGGCCAGGGCAGCCCCTTGAAACCCTCCTGGAGGAGCATCTCACTTCAGGGAGGGAATCAGCAGTGGCTCGGGGCCTGCTGAGGTTGGGGGGAGTACCAGACCCACAAGCAGCTCCAGCTGTGTCTCAGCCACTCACTGGCTGTTCCTTCTCAGTGGGAGGGAACACTCATGTTCCAGGGGTGTCCTAGGTACTAAGTGAAGACCTGCAGCGCGGGCTCAGGTACAGGACGGATTGGCCAACCCTGCCACCTACAGAGCTCCTCGCTGGCTGTCCTCTCCCTGGGCTCCAGCCCCCAGCTGCCAAGCCTGACCTCAGCTTTGGGACCGGCTCCGCTCCCCCAACCCCTGCCAGCTGTCAGGAAGCAGGGCCATGCTGTTACCTTCTTTCTGAGTGAGCTTCTCCCCCAGTTTCATGAGTTTTGACTGCAGCTCGGAGGCCATGATGTAACCCTTCTTCTCCTTATCTGCCATCAACATGGCCAGAAGAATTTCTTTCTTTGGGTCCTCTTGTTTGATTTGTGTGTGCATAATGGTCAGGAATGTGGAGAAGTCTAGCTCGCCATTTTTATCTGTGGAAACAGCAGAGTTTACAGGGAGGAAAGGCTCTTGGGGAAGCCAGGTGGCCTCCTGCCCAGCTGTGGCAGCCAGTGCAGGGCCACCTGCCTCAGAGCACTGCAGTGGTGGCCTTGGTCAATGTGAGAGGATGTGGTGTGACCTTCTGAGGCCCCACCATGGATTATACATTGGCCTGGAGAACCACAGTTACCACCCCCTTCTGCATACTTGGGGGACAGAAGGTCAGTCTAGAGTCACAGCACAGGAGCAGGATGGACAGCCTCTGCTGTCCCTTCCTGCACTTCCCCCCATGAGCTGGAGGGAAATGGGTGCATGTGGCCATTTCCCCTTTGGCGGCCGGCCAGCAGGACCCTTTGGTAAGTGACAGGGACCTTCTTGTGACAGTGACCTCACCTGGGCCTAAAGCCCAGGCCTTACCTCACTGCTCAGCAGTCTGACCTCCCTGCAGCTTCCACCCCAGCCCTCCTCTTCATGCATCTGGGGGCCTCAGCGCAAGCATGGGCCCAGCTGCTGCTGCAGGAAGCCGGAACTTCCCAGCCACAGCTTCCTGTTCAGAGGAGACAGGAACCAAGGAAACCACCTCCTCGCCTGAGCTGAAATGGGGGATTTCAGGTGTCAGGCCCCTGAGGGCCTAATCAGTGGCCTCTGGCCAGCAGGGAGGGCCGCCAGTGCTGGGATGCAACCCCCAGTAACCCTAGCAGATGGTGGGGCCCATCTGAGCAAAGTAGAAGCCTCAGCTGACCAAGAAGTAACCTCAGGGCTCCAGGCTTCACATCCTCAGGACAGTCCCTCCTTCCTAAGTGTCCCCCGGCCCAGTGTAAACAGCCGCTGGCCTCTGACACCTCCCCACCTTTCAAAAGCCAACAAAACACCACGAGGCTTGCTTCCAATTCTGAAAGTCCTCTATGTTCCTGCTGGTAAAACTGCACAAAGGAAAAAAATATATAAAAAATAAAAACAATAAATATTTAAAAATAAATAAAACTGCATAAAGGGGACAGAAATGGCCCTTAATCCGGACAGAAACCTCAGTGATGTGCTGGGCGGTTTTTGACCAGTTCTCTAGCAGTGGTGTTTCTAGGTCAGCCTTTGAAATCAGACCTGGGTTCCAATCCTAGTTTCACTGTTGGCTCAGACTGAGTAGTGAATGGCTCCAAGCCTTGATCTTTGCCTCCAAAGTGGGATTAGCATAAGTCACCTTCTAAGGGCTGGCTTGAGCACATCCTCACCAAAGGGTCATTCTGCTATGAAAACCGACATTGGAACTCGGTGTTAACATGCTCTCAGGTTTGTGATGAACTTTGGGATGCCCAGATCCCTGGGGCACGGGTCTTCCCAGGCCCTCCCAGCCCACTCACCTATCCTGTGAGTCTGCAGATGCTGCTCCGCCTCCCCTGGGGTCGGGCTGGCCCCCAGGCACCTCATGGCCACTAGGAGGTCGGTGGCTTTTATCTTGCCCCTCTGCTGCTTGTCGTAGAGGGAGAAGCATTCCTTGTACCCTGTGCACAGCCCAGAGCTAGAGTCAGTCTCATCCGAGCACCAGCCCCCCATGCGCTCCCCACACTGGCCCTGGTCCTAGGTTTACAGACTTGGCGGGGGTTACCCAGAGCTGAGCGGGGCTGGCTGACAGCTGTCCCAGGGCCCCTGCAAACAAAGAGGCTGTGGGGCTGGGGCTGCGCAGTGCACGGTCCACAGCCCAGCAGCGCAGAGGCCCAGGGCAGCCAGGTGGGAGCCCAGCACTGGCATTCGTTACGCTTCCTGTTCGCCCAGCATCTGACAAGCAAAGCCAGCATGCATCTTGCCTTGTCAAACTATGACAAAAGAATGCCATCCTCTCTCCAGCAAATTTGAATTGTCTTGTCATTAGATCTGAGGAGCTATCCACCATGAAACTATTTCTTATCCTGGTACCAATGAGATTCATGAAATTGAAACTTCTTTCAGATCTTTAGTACTGCTGATCCCAACAGGGCTAACTTCTTAGATTTAGGTACAGATTGTTCAGACTTCAATTGCTTAATCATGGCTAGTTTTAACAACCAGGTTGCAGTGTGCCTGCAAACATAGGTGTCCTCCCAGTGGCCAGTCTGGAATGGCATTTTCTCTTCTGCTCCTGGCTAGCCGCAGCCTGGGAGCCTCCAACCCCTCATTCTTTACTCCATCCTTGCCCATTTTTTCATTGGTGAAACACTGGTGGCCTCTGTGTTGGTGTCAGGCTGGATACAAATAGAAACCCCTCCCCTCCCAGGAGTTCACAGAGAGGAGGGCTGGTGAGTCTGTGTCCAGGCATGGTGGCCTCACCTTTAGAGCTGAGCCCTCAGGATAGTCAAGAGGCCTATGCGGGGGTGCCCACCTGGAGCCCCACCCTCACCTCTGCTTCCTGCTCAGGATCACAGGGGCTCTGTGGGCCCAGGTGCCTGCAATTGCACCTCCAGTGGGCAGGAAGGGCCCTCCAGCATGAGGCAGTAGAGAGCTGGTGGTCACTGTGGGGGCAGAAACGTAATGGCGGTGGCTGGCTGGGCCTTGGAGGCTGGAGCCTTTCCAGCCAGGGCTCAGGGCCTTCCACTGTTCTCAGCTCATCCTTCTCTCGGCCCCTGTTCAGTATTACCGATTAACTCCTGTTGGCCTCATAGAAACAGCTCTGCAACACCCAGAACTACATACAGTGCTCGCCCCGGAGCCAGGCAGGGGGGACTTACTTACAGACAAGGAGAATGGCGCCCAGAGAGGAGGATGCTACCCCAGAGCATGGACTTGACCTCTTATTTTTTTGTAGTATCTGCCAGTTATACCACCCCTACCCCCACACCTCACCCCGTTTTCAGCCGTAATGTTGTCTCTCCCCAAGCCTTCCCTCTTCCTGCCAAATCTGACAGCACCCATATAGGGGTCTCCTAGGATCTGGCCAGCAGCCCCACCTTGGCACTCACCCCACCTGAGTGCCAGTGTCCCTGCTGTAGCTGGCCTAGTGCCCCTGGGTGGCCAGCCACTCCCCCCACCTCCCTTCTACCAGCAGAAGAAGTGTACCAAATTGCCTAATGAGACCCATATTTTGCTGGGCGATGCTAATTAAAGAGCAAACAACCTACCATTAATTTGGTCCTGGGAAAGAAACTTGGCCTGCAGCAGAGAGAGGAAGCACGTCAGGGACAGACCGTGGGAGGCCCCCAGATCCCGCTGGTGGCACACCCCCACCCCCTTACCATCTTGGGTTGGGCAGCTGCTCTCAGAACTGCATTCTCTGTTTCCTACTGCTTCAAGTCGAAAGTCCAACAAGCTGGGTGGAGACTTGGTAATACACCCTCCCCTGCCCCCCCTCTGCTGCCATGGAGACCTGGCCACCACCACAGGGGTCAAATTCCAGCTTCCGTGCACAGCTGAGGCCCCGCTGGCCTGGCCAGCTTGAGGAGGAGGAGGAAGCAGAACCGCAGAAGGGCTCTTCAGTTCTCTAGGGCACTGCGTCTGGGCTGATCCCATGCAGCAACTAGACTGATGCCTCTGTCCTTTCCTGCAAGCCCCAGACTAAGGTTAGCGGGGTATAGCCTGTGCTGGGCTAGGGGAGCTCTTCTTGGCGTTCTCAGGTGGGACCCTCCATGGCCCCAGCAGCCTGTCTTGAGGAAGGGACCCTGTCAGGGGGCCGAGCTCCAAGATGCTTTGCTCGCAGCGTGGTGGACATGTCCCATGGGGGCACAGGACATGGGGCTCTCAGCTGGGACTCAAACCCTCCCTCTCCTGCTCATTCAAATCACGGCACCTCCCTGTGCCTCAGTTTCCTCACCAGGCCACAGTACAGGGCTGCCAGGAAAATCTAATGACCACACGCAGCTGGTTCTCGGCCTGTGCCAGTTGTTCTGTGGACCCCAAAGCTGGCTGTGACGTCACCTGGCCCTGCAGTCCTCCCCAGTCTCCCTTCCCCTGTGGCCCACACTGCCGACTCCCAGCTTCCTCAGTGGCTGGAGCTCTCTCCTCCCCCCCAAAGGCCAGTGCCTGGGAGGGGCATGCTGGGTGCTGGGGACCACAGGTCCTCAGCTTTGTCTGATCCCCTGCTCCTCCTCAACCATGGCTGGTGGCCATCATGTTCAGTTGCTCAGGTTATGCGGCACACTGGGTAGTGCTGCAAGGAGCCCGACTACACCTGTGTGCAGAAATTTCTCTTCCCCCACACCGCCTCCCTCTCCACTCCTGGCTCTAGACTCAGACTTGTCATTGCAGGTTTGGGCTCTCCCTGGGGACTGAAGCAGGAGGGCCTCTGTGGGACAGCGTGGGAGGCAGTGGTGCTCCCTAGGGCAGCAGGCAGAGGAGGAGTGCAGCCAGCAATGCCTTGAAGGGAAGGCACAGAGCCACAGCTTGGGGGCCCAGAGTGCTCACCCCAGTCACTGGGCCTTTGGGAAGGGCCCCAGGCAGAGAAGACGACTCCTAAGGTTTAGGTGACTGCATGCGCACCCTTGCCAATAGGAAGCCCCAGTGTGCTGTGGCTCCCTCACCCAAAAGTCCGCTCAGGCTAAGTACACACAGTGGAGCCTGCTCCCCCATGCAAAACGAAAGACACTGCCAACCCCTGGCTCCCTGCTCCCAGCACAGCCTGGATTCCCCTGGTCCTGCTAGCCCTGCCCCCACTCCGGCTTTCCGTGGGAAGGGTTCCCAGGAGGGAGAGCCTCCATTATTGTAGTAGGCCTAGCCAGCTGCAAGAGGTTCCCAAGCAGAGCCCCACTCCCCGCAACATGCATAAAGGCTTTGCTGGACCGGCTCTAGGCTCCTGCTCCCAGCTTGGGCCCCTTACACCGCCTCCACCCCCACACCCTGTCCCCTCCGCACCCCAGGAGTGCGGGCAACCTCCTCCCTCCCACCCATTCTGTGCTGCTTTTGAGCCCAGCTCTACCTTCCAAGCCTGGCCAGGCTCCTCTCAATCGGGAAACAGAGCAGCCCGCAGGTCCCCAGAGGGCCTCACTGCCTTCAATGAAGATTCTTACTAGGCAATGTTCGCGGTCAACTGTCAAGAGGTCTTGGCTGGCAAAGGGGACCCAGGATCTCCAGGGCTCTATAATTTGCTTGCTATTTCTCTGCCTTTCTAAATACCCACTTTTTTTTTTTTTTTTTTTTTGCGGAACGGGGATTGAACTCAGGACCTTGTGCTTACCAGGCAAGCGCTTATTCTACTGAGCTATCTCCCTGGCCCCTAAATACCCACTTTTTGCCTGGGTTCTTATGCATTTTTAAAGTTTTTATCTTGGACTCTCCCAATTTATGCCCTTCTGGCCCCAGCCAGGCAGGCTCACCCATGCATACGGTTTACCCGCTAAGACCTCTGACAGGGGCTGGGATACAGCTTAGTGCTTGTCTGGCACGCATGAAGCCTTGGGTTTGAGGCCCAGCACTGCAAAACAAGAAACAAAAAGGCGGAGTTCAAAGGACAGCAGTAAAGGAAGAGAAGCACCATCTTGGTGGGGTCATGGAGGTCAGGTGTCTACAGTCCAATGCGCCCCTCGTGTAGTTTCTGGCAGCAGGTGGTGAGACCCTGAGAGGACAGCTCACCTGCCCAAGGTCAAGTGCCACTTCTAACACATGTGTCTCTGCCTTCTCCTCAAGGTAATGGAGGTGTCCTTCCCTGCCCTCGGACTCCAGGGCTAACAGGAGACCTCTTCATGTCCCCAGCCCAGGAGCCTATGTGGCCACCCGGCTGAGTGGCCGTTGGAGCCCCCCACACCTCCCCACTGCACACCCAGACCAGAAGCAGCCACCAGCCAGGCTGGTCACAGTACCCGCTTTTATTCACACTGCTCACCATCCAAGGTGCAAGGAGATGGGGACAAACCAGAGCCTGGAGGGCCCCTAAGGGGCTGTGGAAGGACCCCAATAGGAGAGGAGAATCTGGGCTGGGGGCTCCCTGAGAGCACAGGAGAGGGGCAGGGCTGTGGGAAGGCAGGGTGGCCCAGACGTCCCATGAGGCTGGGCACAGTGGCTCCCACTGGATGGAAGCCCCAGAGGGGCAGCTGGTGGTCGGGGAGGCCAACACAGGGCCCAGTGATGGGAAGGAGGCCTGCTCCTGAGGTGGGGCCACTGGCAGAAGGGAACACATGCTGGTGGTGATAAAGCTGACCAGATTTGCGGGGGAGGAGGGAGGTCCTCCAACGGGCCTCCAGGAGCCAAGCAAGGGTTTCTCCCTACAGGGGCAACTCCAAACCTCCTCCCACAATCCCTCCAGAGTAGAGGGAGCCCGGGGCAGGGCAGCAGGGTCTGGCTCGGAGCTCAGGCTGCTGTGGCCCGCTGGGCCTCTGGCTCCCTGAGGCAGGCTTAGGCAAGGCCCTGGGCTGCATTTATCCCTCCCAGGCTGGAGAGGGCAGTGACCGAGCCACTCACTGGGCTGCTCTAGCCTGCGTAGGGCCACAGGCCCAGAGAGAAATGTTCTGTTCAGCCACACAGAAAGGCATCATAGCCTTGTAACTGCGTTTCCAGGGTCCCGGCAGACGAAAGGAGAACAAGGTTTCTGTCCCGCTAGGAACCTGTGTGACCCCTGGAAGGCATCACGGTTGGGCCAGGCAGCCCAGGTGGTGGGAGTGGGGGTAGGAGCCAAGCACAGTCAGGAGTAGGGGTCCGGAAAGGCCCATATCTTTGTCTCAATGTGCTTCCCAGAATGAAATTCCAGCCCCTAAAGAGCCAAACCAAAAAAGAAATTGGGCCAAGGTAGTCAAGTCTTTCAGCACTGTGCTCCGCGCACCCAAACCAGTCCACCTGCACAGCCCGGTCTTGGCTCCTGCGCATGCGCGCGCTGTGACGCCCACCGCAGCCAGCTCCCCATGTAAGGCACCATGGGCCAGTGCCAGGGCCTCAGTGCCCGCTGCTGACGTGGAGCGTGTAGAAGGCCCAGGGCTCGGGGACGTAGATGACACCTGGGTACTTCTTCCTGAGCACGGGGTCGCTCCATAGCCAGGCGACCCAGAGTGCCACAAGCAAGAGGGTGAGGGTGAAGGAGTAGAAAAGGAAGAGGCCATTGCTGTCCAGGAAGAGGTGCCTGCGCTTCTGGTGCAGGACGAGTGCCAACATGGCGAAGAAGGTGAAGATGAAGAGGATGAAGATCTGACCCTCGGTGACCAGGTACCTGGGGAGGTGATCAGGAGCTCAGAAGAGGCACGTGCCGTGGCATACATCCCTCCCTGGCCCCACACCAAGCTGCCCTCCTAGGGAGAGGGGCTTGAGGGCCGGGCCACTCTAAGTGCAGCCCCCAGTGCCACTTTCTTCTGGCTTATAGAGTGTTTACAATTTCTGAGCTTGCTGCCAGTGTGTAAGTAACAGATCCCCGAGAGTGTGCATTTCTGGCTTCTCTGGTGGCATCAGGATTCTGTGTCTGAGATCAGCTGCACGGAGCATGGCCTGCGCTTGCTGTCGGCTCAATGTCTCACCTGCCTGGTTTGCAACCATCTGAGGTCAGGAATGCAGTTGGAATTTATGGCAGCTGTCACTACTGCCTCCTTGTTGTCTGGGACATGGTCTCAGCTCTCCCACAGACCCTGCAGTGCCCCAGGCAGTATGCAGCACACGACAGGAGCTTGGTAACAGCAGCAAGTGACCTGCTTATCTCCCTGCCTTGAACCAGAGCCACCATGCCTTCACTTGGGAACTACAGCCTTGTAACGGGTCAGCGTGTGGTGTCGGGGTTTTATGCAACATCTTGGAGCCTCTGCTTTCTCCTTAGGAGGGTGCATGCGTGGCCTCACCTCTCAAAGTTATGACAGGTCCTGGGGACATCCCTTACTGGGGTCAGCATCTTGTCTGATAAACACTGCTGCTGCAGCAGCTATTACTGCACCAAGGCACTATGGGTGAGGATGGGCAGGAAGCCTAACCTAGATCTCTCTTTCCCTCCTGCTGTGAGTGCCACCATCCCTTTCATCCAGTCCTCAGGGAGCCCTCAGATCACCCCTGGTGGCCAATCATGGGCAGGGCTGGAACTGGCCCCAAGAAGGAGGGGCTTCACGTGTTTGGGGGCATTTCTCATCCTAGAAGGGACCACACCTGCCAGGGTCCTTCCTGGGACACCCACAGTTGCAGGGGTGGGAAAGCCAGAGGCTGGCTGAGACCTGGGTCCTCCCTAATGGGAAATGGGGGCCACAGGAATAAAGTCTCCTGTCTGTCCTTGTCCTTTCCATGGTGTTTTACAGTTTACAAGGCCCCTCTCTTCCCCCTACTCCTCACCATCTCCTGAGAGGGAAAGTCAGGCTTCATCTCCATTCACTGAGGGGGAAGCCGAGGCCCAGAGGGCTCTCCAGGGCTTGGTCTGGAGGGGACTTTGTTGGCTGTAAGATGTACCACGTACCCTTACCCCAAACCCCACCTCCTGCTACTCACAGACAAGGGTTTCTAGGTCACAGGGAAGCCGCCACATGGCACTATAACTGTCCCCGGGACCGCAGGGGCGGGGCACAGTAGGGACCTGGGGAGGCCGGGCACACTTGCCCCCTCAACGCCCTGACCACCCAGGGTCACCATCACTCACCAGTAGTACAGGCCACTGGGCACCAGCAGCAGCAGGGCAGGCCCAGGCATGGTGCTCTGGGCCTTGGAGGCGGTGAAACAGCCGCTGAAGTACATGACGAGAATGAGGAAGAAGGGGATGTACCTGTCACAGGAGGCCACGCTCAGAGCCCCAGGCCACCACCTCCGCCCAGACCCTCTTCCCTGCACTGTTGCCAGATGCTTGGGTGTGAGGTGTCCCTGTCCGGGGCTGGCTCACTACTTCCGGCTGGGCAGTGTTCCCACCCTGCCACGCCCACCCCGGAGCCTGAGTCCTCTGCAGTGACTGCAGCCACCGGGCAGGGGAGAAGTAGCCTGGGAGCTCTGAAATGGGGGAGTACAAACTGCTCCCCTCAACCTCATCTGTTGCCCATCTCAGCTTCGTGAGCAGAGAACAGCACGGGTGGAGGCTCCACCCTACGCTCACGTCACATCTTGAGGTGGAGGTGGGGGGTGGGGAGCGCCCGTCTAGCCCAGCAGGGTCTCTGACCCCAGCCTCGGGGTTTGGCCAGGGTGGGACGACGGCTGCTTGCTGCCCTCTAGTGACTGCCGCAGGCACTGCGGGCTGGAGGAAGAAGGCCAGTGGCTGGGCCTTCGGGGACAAAGATGCTATTCCAGCTCTCCATTCAACACATGGAGACCTGGGCCCAGACCCTGGGCAGGCATCTGCGCGTCCCCTCCGTCACTCACCACATGGAGTGGCCCAGGTACTCGTCATAGTAGTACAGCAGCTCGAAGGAGTCGATCTGGGGGAGGCAGAGGCACGGCAGGGTGGGGGACGGGGAAGCTGGTTACCCCAGGGCTCCCTCCACCACCCCATCCTGACGCAGGGCCTGGCTTCCACCACGGAGACCCAGGGGTCACTGCCAGCACCCCAGGGGCCATGGAGCCCTCCTGCGGGCACCCGGGCCTTACCAGCGTCTCCGGCTTGAGGTTCTTCATGATGGGGTTCTCGCGGACTGACAGGTGGTGCTGGTAACCGCTGAAGAGCAGCCGGTGGTTGACGGAATCGCCCACCAGGTGGATGCTGGCGCCCATGATGAAGATGATGATGCTGACATAGATCACGGAACGCGGCAGCGTGCGCGGGGACCGCTCGATGAGCTGAGGGCCAGAGCGAAGCACAGGGCGCAGCCTGTCCCCACCTCATCACTGCGCAGGCGCCCACCGCCCCCCTCCCTCCATGAGATGAGACCCTTGGCCTCCAGCCCACTGCAGATCTTCACGGGACCCACGAACTTAGCAGGGTCGTGGAGCTGCACCCCTTTCTCTGGGAGCAGCAGGCTCAGGGACCATCCCAGGCCCAGGGCCACACCTGAGCCACACACCGGAGGTGACACCCAGGCTCTAGCCCTCTGCTGCCCCAGCTGTGCCTGGGAGGCTGGTGGCCCGCCCAGGGACTTGACTTCTGAGGGACAGGCCCAGCGGATGGCAAACAGAATGCTGAGGAGGGAGGGTGTAGTTGTGCGCTTCAGGAAGTAGAGAATTCGGAGAGCACAGCCCCCCAACTCTGGGAGATTTGCAAGGTCTTTTTTATTGCATGTCAGGGTCTGCCGCAGGCGAGGCCAGCACTCTACACTGAGCCACACCCAAGCCCCCAACTGCCTTCTTCCCTCCCTCCTTTACTCCCACACAGAGTTTCACCACGTAGTTCAGCCTGCCTTGAAGTCAAATTCCTCCTGCCTCAGCCTCCCCAGCGCTATGACTACTGGTGTGCATCAGCACTCAGCACTGAACTGTTGCTCAAAAAAAAAACAAAAAACAAAACTGCACCAGTAGATGGCGCTAGCACAGTCCGTGCCCCTCCCCCATACCACAGGCTGCTCATCAGCAGATCCAGCCAACCCTGGACGGGTCCAAAACCGTGCCTGTCCTGAGCATACGGTGTGACAACTCCTGACACAGCGTTTACTGACTTAAGTAACCTACAGAGGTCTTCATCTGGAGGCTTTCCCGGCCGGGGTGGCGGTTCGGCTCGATTGCAGCCTTTCTCACGGCCTTTCCCTCATAGCTTCCCAGCTGGCCCGACCTCTCCCTGCTGCACCCCACGACCACTCCTGCCTCAGCCTCCCCGGCGTGCTGTGGCTCCCCAAGTGCAGCTCACCTGCAGTTCCTCCTGTGGACTGGAGCCGTCTCTGTGCCCATGCACAGGCCTCCCTCCCCCCCCCCAGCCTCGGTCCTGCACGCTACAGCAGGGGCGGGGCCACAAGCTCACCTTGAGCAGGAGGAAGGGTGTGATGACGTTGTAGGCCATATGGAAGTAGTCACCTACGCTGGGCTTGTTGAGAGGAAACCACTGGAGCGGGAACACCAGCTGAGGGGGACAGGGGTACTCAGTAGGCCGCCCCCAAGGCCCCTGCACGCATCTGCAGGGACCATCCTGGCACCCACTAGAGGAAGGGCTTCCAGATAGAGAAACTGAGTCCCACAAAAGGTAAATGGCCTTGTGTGCACTCAAACTGCAGCGGTGACTTCTGGCCTTGGCTTCTTTCCTAGTGAGTACCAAATAAATGTCCCTGGATTCCAGGAGGCTCCTTTGGGACTCAGCTGTGCCACCAACTTGCTGAGTGATCTTGGCAAGTCCCTCCCTGCTCGGGGTGTCATCCATCTGTAACCCGGTGGTCTACTTGGACCCTCAGGGATCTGCCACTCCGGGTCCCAGGTGGGACTTTTGGGAGATGACTTAAGTCACCTGGGTCACAGGGACTTAAGAGCTGACTTCCTGTTAGGAGGTGGGATGTGGTCCAATGAGGTGGCCACTAGGGGCGTGGCCTAAAAGGGCTCCTCCCAGTTCTCACAGCTTCTTGTCCACCTTGTCTTAAGCAGCTCTCCTCGGCCACCCCTAGTGCCATGCAGTCCTGCCTTTGAGCCAGCAGGCTGTGGACTGAAACATAAGCTAAAATAAACCTTTTTTCTTCTAAATAGTGGGTATAGGGCATTACATCTCAGTCACAAGAAAAGCAACTAGTGGCCGGAGAGATGGCTCAGCGGAATAAGCGCTTCCCTGGCAAGCGCATGGGCCTGAGTTCAATCCCTGGTTCCGCCAAAAAAAAAAAAAAAAAAAAAAAAAAAGCAACTAAAACAGATTTTGGTTCGACAGATGTGGGGTTGTTACTGTAGCTATTCCTGAAAACCATGTGACTCAGAAGTCTTTGGAACTGGATAGGAGACGCTGACTGGAGAAGCCCTGGAATGGTTTCTGAAAGATTCTGACCAGAGTTCAGAAGACCAGAATGCTGACAGAAATGCAGACAGCAAAGGCCAGGCACAGGCAATTTCAGATGGAAACAAGAACTCCATTGACAGCTGAACTTCAGACTATGTGTCTTATGTCCTTACAGAAAATTTGTCTATAATTTTTGTTCATGTCCTGAGACTGTGCAGGAGACTGAAATTAAAAGCAGTGAACTAATTTTCCTGGTGGAGGAAATTTCAAGGCAGCCTAACAGTGGGCCTGAGGTATAGATACTACTGGGGGCTCTTTAGGCAGGTTTATATTGAAAAGCAAGAGCTAAAAGCCTGTTTTTAAAGTTTTCAGTTTTGGGCCCGGGGAGATAGCTCAGTAGAATAAGTGCTTTGCTGGTAGGCGCAAGGGCCTGAGTTCAATCCCCGGTTCCCCCCCTTCCCCCAAAAAAGTAAAGTTTTCAGTTTTGCCAGGAAAACAAAAAGCATCCACAAAAATGGGGTAGAGGGGAGCTTGGTTGCTATAAAGAACACCATAGGGGCCGGGGAGATGGCTCAGTGGAATAAGTGCTTCCCTGGCAAACACAAGGGCCTGAGTTCAATCCCTGGCTCCGCAAAAAAAAAAGAAAGAAAGAAACCTAGGACTCTGGACCAGGACAACAGGAAAAGTGGCTTAAGGGCATGTCAGGAATCAGTAAGAACCCACTGTTCAAGGGCTCAAAATTGCAAAAGTGAAATAATGCCAGACATGGTGCCACATATCTGTGATCCCAGTATCCAGAAAGATGAAGTCAGAAGATCACCAAGAGTTTGATGCCACACATGACTACACAGTGAATTCAAGGCCAACCTCAACTACGTTAGTGAGACCCTGTCGCAAAAAGAAAAAACAAATGAACAAAAAGTAAATAATGAAATACAAAACAACAAAATAACATTAAAAAAACAAAAGAAAACCCCAGCCTTTGCCTTGAGAAGGATGCCCCAGGCCACCATGTTCCAGAATGCTGCCAGCCTAGGGCTTTAATTCCCTGGGATTCCATTCACAGTGCTCAGACATTCAGAGGCCTCTGGAGCCATGGCACAAGAGGGCCTGGCTACTGCTCAAACTGACAGCAGACCTTGGCATCATCCACACGGTGCTGGTTTTAGGTGTGTGTGGAATGCAAGGGTTATGGGGTCAGGGAGGCTCGTGCCCAGATTTCAGAAGGCCTAGGAGGCCAGGCAGTGTGCCCCTGTGAGGGCAGTGTGTGAAGCGGTATGAAGCCAAAAGTGCAGTGGAGGCACCAGGAAGTTAGGGAAGCCGGGAACCAGAAACATCTGAGGAAAGCCACAAGGCGTGAACAGTGCCAGCTCAGTAGAGGCCACGAGGGTTGCAACCACTGGCGATGCAGCGAGGGCGGGCCTGCCCGAGCCCTTTGGAGTTCACATCTCTCCTTACTATTTGCCTGGGGGCTAGACACAAAACTACAGGACTTCATTTTGCCCTGCTGGGTTTTGGTCTTGCTTTGTTCTAACTGGGTTTTAACCCCCTTTTCCTCATTCTTTGAATAAGGGGAATGTTCTTTCAGCGCCATTGTATGTTGTATATGTTCAACTTTCTTTTTAATTTTTATAGGGGTTCACAGCTAAGAGTTTGCTGTGAGTCTCTAAGACAACTTTTTTTTTTTTTTTTTTTTTTAATGGAACTGGGGACTGAACTCAGGTCCTTGCGCTTGCTAGGGAAGTGCTTATTCTACTGAGCCATCTCCGCAGCCCCTTCTAAGACAACTTTGGAGTTTGCAGCAATGCTGAAACAGTTAGACTTAGGCAACTCTTAGAGATGGATCAAATGCATTTTGCATAAAGGGACAGCCATGAGTTTTGGGGGGGCCTGGGCTCAATGTTAGAACTACACTTAGATGCCCTCCAAGAGCCCCATGTGCTTGTAGGCAGGGCTTTTGGAAGGTGATTGGAGGATGGGGGCTGATGGCTGATTTGCTATCAGGAGGCAGGCCACTGGGGCTGTGGGAGGCATACACCCGCTCCTGGACTTCCGGCTTCCTGTCTGCTATGCCATGAACAGCTCTCTGCTGTGGCCCGTGCCGTCCTGGCGTGGAGCCAGGTGACTGTGGACTGAAATGTGAGCCTGAAGGACGCCTCCTCCCTCGAGGTGCAGGTGCTGGGGATTATGTCTCAGTGATGAGAAAAGTCACGAAGGCCACACTAAAAATTAAAAATGACCAGAGGCTCAGATCATAAGAATTAATAATATGGGCCGGCAAGATAGCTCAGTGGCCTAAAGCACCTGCTTAGGCAAGCTCAGGCAAGTGGGCAGGGACCACGGTTTGATCCCCAGCACCACATGTTACGCCAGCACTGCCCCCAGGGTGGGCTGAGCTGGCCACAAAAAAAAAAAAAAAAAAAGACTTCATAATATGCAAAATTGGCAGATATGTTTCATCTCTAGAAAAATGATACTATCCCAGGACCTCAGGGACAGATGGGGGATGTACGCACCTTCCTTTCCTGTTTCCTGTCTGACATGGCTAAGTGTTGCCCATCTCCCACAGGGGATATGGTCCTACAGGGGGATGCTATGTGACTGTCCAGACCCCCTCACTTGTTGCAGCTGCAGGACAGGCCATAGTCATAGGGCCAAAGGACACAAAGCACTGACACCTATGCTCCTTTCAGCTTGCTGGCAGGGGATGTGACTGGCCTAAGGTCACTCTGTAAACTCAAGTCTCAGCTGTCTCAATGCTGGGCAGGACCCACACTCACCATAGCAATGGGGCGGCCAAAGTCCAGAACCCAGTTCTGCAGGGTGAAGTAGAACCAAAGGTCAAGGTGGAAAGGAGCTGTGTGGTCGGCCTCACCTGCTTTGATGGGGCTGTGCCTGGGAAGGAGAGATGGGTCAGGCCCTGTCCTCTACCCATCAGAACCCGCCCCCAGGAGAGCCACACCAGGCCTATTGTCTGGAAAGCTGGAAGACACACACGGCCGAGGTCTAGGGAAAGAGTTCTGCTGGGAACACCGGAGTTCGGTCGCATAGCCAACGGGGAGGTGGATTTCTGTTGTCCTGCCCTATGCTTTCCTGGATTCAGAAGGGAAACTGCCACATGGAATGATAACTGCCGCGTGTCCTTCTCCCCTACAAAATGATGGGGACATGAGACAGGGCGCAGAGGGGCTGCAGAAGGTGAAATGCGATTGGCGACAGCAGGTATCCTCACCGAGCACTGGCAACATTCATGGTACCGCCATTAACTGTTACGTGGACAATCTTGTCTAATGGTTTTGTTTTTGTGGTGCAAGGGATGGAACCACACATGTCAAGCGTTCCTCCACCCACAGCCTTTCGGTTAGTTCCTCCAAGCCGGACAGAAACCTTTGGAGATTAAATGACTACCACATTTACTGTCCTCTGGGGCCAGCAGGCCTTCTCTAGGTTAACTAGGTCTTCCTGTCCCCCCCCTCCACTTGTCCCACCTGTCACTTGCTGAACACCAAAAGCGTGCTCTGCCAGGGACTTTGCCCACACTGCGTAGTCCGCCTGGCAACCCTGCGTAACAGGAGCTGGTACCTTGCTGCTCCCAGATAGGGATCTTAGAGGGGTCATGGCTTAGCCTCGGTGACACACGTGGTCAGGAGTACCGGTGACCCTTCTTGCCAACCTGTGTCCTGCCCTGCTTTTTTGGGAAGTTGAGAATACATCCTTGGTCCCCAGGGAGGGTGGCAGACCAGGGTGGCCAGTGGGACTTTTCTAACTGAAGCCAGGGAGCAAGTTCTTTCCTTCCTAGTTCTGGGACTCAAAAGGCACAACCTTAAGCTGCCTGTGCTCAAGGTTCCTGAGAACCAAGCAGCCCACAGACAGGCTTGGCAGAAAGAGAGTATTTGTGCATCTCATGCTGGGCACCCCCAGGCCAGCACAGGCCCTCTGCTGGGTTGCCACAGATCGCTTGGGCTTTCTGTCCCTTAGAACCCCGGAGTCAGGAGCAACAAGAATGCACCTCTGGCTGTCCAGGAATTCAAGTCCTGTGCTCTCAACAATGAACCCATTCAGGTCTTGGTTATTACAGTAAGCCAGGTGGTGTGTAAGAGAGATCTGGCAGCTGCAGGAAGGAAGGGAGCCTCCAGGCAGGGAGGGGCACATTGAACCTGGCAGCAGGAGAAGCCAGAGGTGGCAGTGAGATGCCAGGAAGGGCTGGCTGGCAGAGATTCTGAGGAGCCACGAGGACCGCTTGGAGACAGTTACCATCACAGAGCCCTGCCACCCCATGGGGTAGGGCCTCAGTGGTAACACCAGGCCATATCAAGGTGGCTGGGGAAGGAAGATACCTTAGAGTTTTTCTTAGAACTTATGAGGTGGATGGCTGCCACAAGGAATAAAGGGAAGGTGCAAGCCCAGCAGGCCCTTGGGTGGGAGCCTGTGCAAATTCCAGGGCCCGGCACACATAGGGGTGTCGAAGAATTTCTTCCTTTGTCCTGGGAACTACCAGGGTCAGCAGCAAACCCCGTCCTTAGGAGTCAGAAACCCCTGTCATCAGTCCAGTCCAGCTTAGGGGACAGCGTCCTGTGCATCCAGATTGCTGAGCACAGAACTGACTTTCTTTGTTCCTCAATCTATCCAGGGCTGGGCAACCTGCAGCCTGTCCCAAGTTCCTGACACCACAGACTTGCAGGCCCTGAGAACAAAGGCAGGAAACCTGACACAAGACCTCTTCGCACCTGGGGACACTGACACTGTGACAGCTGGACAGCACATCACATTGAGGCAGTCAGCAGCGTCAGCAAGACAGGGGGTGGAAAAGGAGGGGGGCTTGTCCTGGTCCTGGAGAAGTCGGGGAGGGACCTCTCACTGTATAAAGCACGGTGGTGCAGGCCCACAGCCCAGCAGTCTGGGAGGCTGAGGCAAGACCCTGTCTCAAATAAAAAATAAAGAAAAGGCTGGAGATGTAGCTCAGTATGAAGGTCCTGAGTTTAATCTCCAGTACAAGAGGACGAAGGCAGGGAGTAGGACCGGTCATAAGTTTGGGGTAAAAGGAATGAGAAAGTGCAGGAGAATGGCGGGGGTGGGGGGTTAGAATAAGGCAGTAACTGACGGCCATCGCTCTACTCTGCAGGGAACAATATTTGCATGGCTTAAGCAACATAAACCCTGTCAGTGTTTAGGATCAACCGACGGATACAGTGCAGAAAATACCTGTCAGCCCCCAAATACAGAAGGTAACTGAGACCCCGCGTGCCGGCCCAGCGCCGCACACCGGAGGCGCCTCGTGTCTGCGGGGCGGCACAGCCACCGCGGCACCGCCGGAAGGGCTTCGGGGATCCCGGGGCCTCGCGCCGCCGCTGGGGGCCTAGGGGTCCCCGCGCTCCGGGCGCCAGCCCTGCTCCCGCCGACCCTTCCATGATGGTCTCACTTTCCACGGCTCCGCAGGGCGCGCAGGGAGCCTCCCGCTGGATGGCAGGACCAAGAAAGCACGGAGGCGGCGCCGGCACAGAGAGCGCCGGGCCGAGTCCCGGGGCCTGGAGGGGTCGCCCGCGGAGCGCGGGGATCCCGGCTCCGGCAAGGACGTGGCCCGAGAGCCGGAGGCCGAAGCGGGCGGAGGTGGGAAGCGGTCCGGATCCCCTAACCCTGGTGCCCCCCAAGCCCAGTCCGGGCGACAGGGGCCCGCGCGCACCCACCGGGCCTGCAGGAAGGAGGCGCCCGGCTGCGCGCCAGCCGCGCCCGGCTGCTGCCGCCTCCGCGCCGCCGCCTCCATGACCCGCCCGGGGGACGGAGACCGGATCCCCCAAGTGGAGCCCAGCGTCTGATCTGGATCCCAAGGCCGGATCTCCCCCGCCGGATAGCCGCTGCCGGGCCCCTGCGCGGAGCACACCCACCCGTCGCACCGGGGAAGGGGCGGGGCATCAGGGCGGGGCGGGAGCTAGAAGGGGAGGAGGGAGGGAGCCGGAGGGGAGGGCGGAGGGAAAAAGACCCGGCCTCTCAGGGAGGGAGGGGCGCCCCAAGCGGCGGTCTAGTAGAGGAGATCGCGCACGCGCGCAGCGCAGCGCGTGCCGCCACCTGGGGCTGGCGACTGCGCTGATCCTCGGTGTTTTCCTTCAGCAAACTTGTCCAGGCTGGCCAAGGCCCGGGTACTGGGCTGGGGCTGGTTTAGAATCAGGAAAAGACCCAGCTGACTCCCCCCTGTGGTGAGGATAGGCAGGATTTCTCTAGTCCTTTGGACCGGAAGGCCTGGGGACGTTGTGTCCTTCCCCTGTATGCAGTGCTGGGCGCCTTCCATTCAGGGGAAAAGATGACCCAGATTAACCTGCCAATAGCGAGGGCTGGGTTAGGAAGTACACCTACGGGAGCAGGATTCTCTCCAAGGGTGTGTGTGTACAGAGCCCAGGCTGGCCTTGTGGCTTTGGAGAAATGACTTTCCCTCGTGTAATGGGGACCTAAAGGATGGGAGGAAGCTTGGATTGTGTTGGAATTCGGGTAGAATCCTGCTCAGCTCTGCGCCTAAGGAATGTGTGTGGCAGTGCAAGGGGTTCATTACAAGACCACCCCCAAGAAAGTCACCCCTTCAAGCCCTAGCAATTGGCTGTCCCAAAGCAGGAGTCCTCTATGGCCATGGGTACCAAACTGCCCCCTAAAGCAACGTGGCTCTCCCAGGACCTTGTGAACCAGTCCTGACAGGTAGTCCTGAGAGATCTGCCAGGGGATACTTGACCTGCTCTGCCAGCTGTGCAAATCCCAGCCCTTGTTCGTCTTTTCTCTAAAACCCCAGAGCTCTGTATGGGGGCCCTTGGAAAGCAAATCCTGAACCTCCTTATCTGCTTGGCCAGGCTGGTTAGAGCTCCTCTCCTGCCCTTGATTGGCATCATGGGCTAGGTGGCCACAGCTGGTCTGTTGGCCCATGGAGCAGGGGATTTGACCTAAAATTCTGGTGCTTCTGGAGGGATTGTGTTCAGGGTCATTGATGAGTGAGTGATGAAGAAAGAACCGAGTGTTGTGAGGACAGACAGAGTTAATGAGTCAGGGAGGGATGTATGGGAGGGACGTCGTTGGTGGACAGAAGGTGAGAGAGCACACCAGGGACCAGCCAGGCAGAGAGGTGGGTGTCCACAGGAATGAGAGGTTCAGCGATAGCAGCAGCTGACCTGGGGAGGAGCAGGTTCCATGGAGGTCCTTTCTCCAGAGGTGCCTCCTGGCACTGAGCAGGGGAGTGGTAGGAATCTGCATTCTAGCCAAATCCCCTGCATTCTAGGGCTCAGACCACAAGTACAGGTGCAGCTCATCCTGAGCCACATCAGAGGTGCCAGTCCTCAGGGTTGGGGGAGCATTTAGGTGCAGCCAGGTTCTGCATCAGGGCAGATAGAATCCAGTGCCCCAAGTGGGTTGAAGCCAATGCAGGGGCAATGAGGAGTCATCCTTGAATAACTAAGTTGGAGGTGGTGAGTCAGGGTGTCAGACTTGATACCGGACAGTGTCCTATGGGGCTTCTTGCCAGGTTCCTGGTGTCCCAAACACAGAATTGGACAAGATGCACAGAAAAGGCAGTGAAGGTATGCGGAGGACCACCTGGGTGGAGTTGTCACCATTTTGCCTGAGCCCAACTGTATTTCCATGTATTGTTATACGCAGAGCTGGCTAGAACTTTGCCTTATCCCTTCAATTGGTTTTATCTCAATTGTGTTATACAGGTCACTCTTTCCGAATATCCTTCTCTCTGCATAATGCAGAAGCGAAGGCAGCCTCCTGCCCAGCCCAGCTCACAGCCCTCTCTTACTTCCTGCCATTTTCACTGTTGCTCATCCTCCAGCCACTCCTTTCTTTATGAATGAATGAAACCTGGGTTCAGCCTTGGGTCGAGGCCTTTGTTCTGGATAGCCGTCCTCATGGCTGGAGTTAGGACTCCTTGGCGCCCCACAACTACAGATATGCTTTAGTGTCTTTATTCTCGCCATGGATTGCACTGGGTGGTGGATTGGAATTAATTGATGGGATTCCAATAATTGATCCATGGGATTACAGATATAGACTTCCTGGACTGAGGCAAGGACCAGGAAGGGCTCTTTATAAAGGTGTACATTTACTGAAGGTGAAAAAGGTGAATCTACAGAGAGAGAGAGAGAGAGAGAGAGAGAGAGAGAGAGAGAGAGACAGAGACAGAGAGAGAGAGAGACAGAGAGAGACAGAGATGGAGAGAGACGGAGAGAGAGAGAGACAAAGAGACAGACAGAGAGATAGACAGAGACAGACAGAGACAGAGGCAGCAGGCTGGAGAAAAGGCTCAAAGTAGCCCAGATGATAAGGAAAAGGGGTTTTTTGTAGCCAGAATTCCTGCCCTCTCATGCAAATAAGGCATTGGACTCCCGTCCTAGATGCTTACTGTGTGAATTTTCCTCTGGAAAAAATCTCTTACATTTCTCACTCATATAAATGTGGGGTCAGGGACAGTGTCTTCCGATTGGTTGCACCCATATTCAAATTGAAAGAGTATCTTCTGATTGGTGGTCTCAGCTGCAGGGGCAGGTCACCGTTGCCCTGTCTCAGACTGTTGGGCCTGTATCTCATGGGAGACCTGGAGCCTGATGGACAGGAGTGTGCGATGCCAGGAATGCAAAGGCCATCCAGAACCTCTGGAGTCCATGTGCCTGTGAGCAAGAGAACAGAGAGCACCCTGGGAAGCAGGCACGCAGCAGATTGCCTAGTCCCTGTGCCACTGTCAGCTATCCCACCCCTTCCAGCCTCGGTTTCCGCTTCTGTCACAGAGTGAAGCTGCTGCATCTCGGGGGATGGTGGTGATTAAATGCAGTATGCACACGGATACCAGGCAAGCGCCTGGCCCCGGGACCTGCCTACACCAGCATTCTCTGGCCTGTAAGGGTCTGCCCCCTGCCGTGTGACCTTGGGGATTTTTATTGGGCTGCCTCTCCCCATTTACTGTTAAGCTCCAAGTCCTGCACAGCTCTGGGAGTCCACAGCTCTCTGTCTGAGTCATTTTCTGCTGCACCAGGCTCCAGCAGCCCACAGACTGCACCCCGTGCCAGTCCCTGGTGTCAGCTTTGCTCCCTAGCTCTGCTCATCTGATCCCTGAGCAAAGCCAGCAATGTCCCAGTTTTGCAGCAGACAAAGGCTAATTCCTGAGTGGAAGTCCTACCTCCAAGGTCAGCCAATGTCAACACTCCGATGGGGTCCCCAGCTTAATTCAGGCAAATCTGATCTGCAGATTGATCTCAGTATAAACCAGAGAAAAAGGATGGAGGCTTTGGGCTGTGACCCTAATCTCTCCGCAGGCTCCAGAGGAAGTGGGACTTGAAAAGTCCTCCTGTGGTGATGATGAATTAGTAAACGGAAGGGGCTTCTGCTCCCAGAGGCTTTGGCTACATGGAGGGAGCCCCTCAGCCCCACTTAATCCTACGATGCCTTAAGCACAAATCTGCCCCAATTGGGCAGCGCCAGCTGGCAGGAGCCAGGCTTTGCTGAATGGACCTGACTGCTGCCCCTGCCGTGCACACGCATGTACTCACAGGTCTCTTGCCATCAGATCAAGACCTTTCAAAAACACTATCTTGCCTTTCCGTGCGCCCCGGCAGGGTCCATACGGCATTGTTCTTGATTCCCATCGTAACTTAAAGGGAAACTTCACAATGTCCGGAGCCCTTGATGTCCTGCTAATGAAGGAGGAGGACGTCCTCAAGTTCCTTGCTGCAGGAACCCACTTAGGTGGCACCGACCTGGTTTTCCAGATGGAGCAGTATATCTATAAAAGGAAAAGTGATGGAATCTACATCATAAATCTAAAGC